AAAAAAAAAAAAAAAAAACATATAAGCAACACACAAGTTAAACTAACAAATCTCAGGAATTTAGCATCAGATCAAAGAAATCAAAAACTTTTACCAGTGCTAGAACAAGAAACAGCAAAACAAAAGGGCAAAAAAATAAAAAATAAAAAAAATACAAGATCCACCAAAAGAAACAATTTTTGTCAGAAATTTACCAAAATAAAGAGAGCCCAGATGCAATTTTTTCCCCTGCTGTAAGTTAATTAGCTGAAAAAAGAAGAAAAAAGAAAATTTGAAGTTGTGAGTCAATTCATATATAGCACCACCACCTCTTCACATTTCTTGTCTTCTTTTTCATTTTCTTTTACCTTTTTCTCCCCAAATACATTTTTTTTCTAATTTATTTCTTTTGGAGTCAATAATTTTGGGCGTGTTTCCAAGAAGTCCCCACCCCAGCCTTTCTTTGTCTATCCTGAGTTGCCATGCCTGCCTGCCACAACTTGTTATCAAATCCCAATCAAATATTTTTGGGACACAAAAATTTTGTTTTGGGAGATTGGTGTGCGATGCGAGTCGACCAACAAATTAGTCGAAGCATAACTCCAAACACTGTTGTTGGCTGCCAAATAAAATATTTTTGGGGCCTCTGACTCTTGTGCTAAATAATAAATCAGTAATAAAGCTTCTTTTTTTTTTCTTGCTATTTTATTTTATTTTATTTCATCTATTAATTAAATTTCTTTTGTGTTTGGTGTACACTTGAAATTATACTTTGGTAAAATAGTTGGAAATTTATTTTGCTTTTGGGCTTCATAAAAACAATCTCAAACATATCTTGTTTGATAAACATTTTAGAGCAAAATTACATATTTGAGCTACAAGTTTTAATTTTAATTTTTTTTTTAACTAACAATTTTTAGTTATTTTAACATATCAAATAACTAATTATTTAGTAAATACTTTATTTAATCAACATGTGAAAACTACTAAATTATTCAATTACTAGTTATCTGTAAGTACCAAATAGGCCATTATATGCTGATTAATTCTGATTTCTCTATGTATTGTGTGGCAAAAGTCAAAAGGTTGTAGAAGTTGATAAAATGACTTTGTTTGCAAATTAAGTCAAAAAAATTGAATTAGTTCAACAAGTATGTTTGATGAATAAATTATAGAAATATATATTTAAAGACAAACAAATTAGAAGTATTTGCAAATTAATTTAAATTATCCCTCCATACAGTTTAGATTTGATTGTAATTACACAAACTTTTTTTTAAAAAAAAATGATTATAAAAAAACCCAATTAAATAAGTATTAGCAATAAAATATGTAATAAAATAATATATTCGGGAGATTCAACTAAGCATGGCTGCTCCCTTCCCCATAAGCCTTCAAATTCAACTTTGACAATTAAATGAGCTCTTTCTAGGAAAGAAGGTCAAACATATATAGTTTGATGTATAAATAGAAGCTCGAGTTTGACTCATTTATTATTATTAAAATGAATCGAGTTTGAATAGTTAATTGAGCTTCTTCGCGAATAGCTAGTGTTCTTTTGAATGGATTTTAAACGACGGAACTTACTCGTGTATGTGTGGACTATTCGAGAATAGATAGTTTACAGTTTTAAGCTTATTAAACGAATTAATCAAGTTTTCACGAGCTTAAATGAGTTCAGCTTTAGCACGAGTCGATTCATTTATTAAACGAGCACGAGCACGAGCACGAGTCGACTGAATAACAACCTTACGTCTCGGTGCCGAACTAAAATTAACAAAATAGTAATATTAACTTATAATGAACCAAACAATTAGCATTGTTAGTTTTTAACCTTAAAATTCACACATACGCATGGGTTATGCCGTGTGTTTAAAATTCACATCTATGTATTGCACTATCTATTAAATGAGCCGTTTGGTTGGTTGGTCAATCCCATCACCGATGTCAAAACTCAAATGTACGTAATATGTAAAATGATATTAGACTCTTAATTTGGAAAGACTTGTGTGGAGCCTAAATGACATATGTGATGACATAAATTTTTAGCTCCTTTTTCTTTTCTTTTCTTAAAATTCTACTTACAAGTATAAAGAAAAAAAAGAAGACTACAGTTCTGTTACAGTATGATTCCGTCGGTGTTTTTAATCGTAGATTACTTACACATCACTGATTTACATGTGTATCTACGGTTAAAAACACCAACGGAACCATATTGTGACGGGAGTGTAGCATTTTCCTAAAAAGAATGGTTTAAAATGTGACAAGTCGGCCCATTACATCACTCCACATTAGTCTTGGTGTGTGTTATTTGTTTTGTATCAAGTTCACAAATAATCCATTCAGCTTAAGATGTGTTCGGATCCATGAGTCGAGCCGAGTTGAACCTTACAACAATATGCTAACCCAAACCGACCCGTTTACTGCTTCATCGGATATATCAACGAGAGCCCATATAATTTCCCCGCGTAAATTCGCGACTAGTATGGCTTCTAAATATACAAGAACAATAGTCAATAAACCAAAATACTGAGTTATCCTCTTTGTGGGCTTTTTGTTAACTTAAGAAATCTCGGGTTCCTTTGAAAATTTAAAAAAGAACATGAAATGGGACACTGATATTTGGTTCTGGGCTTCAAATTTGGGACAAAATTGGCGGTGCTTCAAATGGGACACTGGATTAGCATTCTCTCTTCTTGTCCTGTCATCAAGCTTGTATTTGTTAGTTATGTGTGCAAAGATTGGAACTTTATTTTGGGTTATAGGGATAAGCAATTTTGGAAAACGTTTGTTTACTAGCCCCTGCGTTGTCGTGCGTGCGATGCATGTGGTAACATTATTAAAAATATTTTTATTATAGTTATGATGCGGGAAAGAAATATTAAAAATAATTTTATAATGATAAATATTGTGTTAACATTAAAATTAATTTTATAAATTAAATAAACATAGTTTACTCATCAAAAATTATGTTGAAATTTTTTTTTTTTTTTTGTACAAAGGAAGAGGCTAGACGCCTAGTGAGT